CCGTTTGGACTGAACGTTAAAATTCTCACGATTAAATGAGTAGGAGTAGCAATTCATTTAGCCTTGCCTCCCGAAAGGCTCTCACTCCGGTTGGACTGCAGTTTCGACCTCGCTCGGGCCCTATAAAAAACACCGTCAACGGGATTCCAAAATGGATCGTGTTCTTCAAGTGGCAATTGTACAACTGGACTAGATAGCCGCAGGTGCCGGCAGGTCACAGATCAAGCATGGATGTCAAGGCAAGTTATGCCATATTTAGTAAACAAACATGAACGCCGTTTTAAAGCTAAGCGACTGTAAAGCAACGCGAATCAGCCTTCGTCTTCCGATGACATCAAATAACGAATCTCTTCATGCACTCCCATATGAAATGAAAGTCTCCCAAACAATGCTATCTAAAGAGATTCATCGAAACCCATTACTCTTCGTAACTGCACAAATCTCTATTAGATCAAAGGTATGGTGGCCTGTTTTTATGCTCTTATTGTAAATGTTAGCGAGCTTCATAGACTGAGCTTAAACTGGGTAGTCGCAAATGGTGGACGTATAAATATGCCAAAATTATATTCAGAAGCACGATAACACTTTATGCCGTCGGTTAGCGTATAAGTTCATGTGAAGCTTGTTGCGTGAAACATTGGCCTAAGAGAAATATTGCATGCGGTCTGAGAGAACAACAGATAAAGAAAACTATATGGCGATACATCATAATAGGGAGTGGTATTTCATTAACTAGGATACATGGAAAATAATAATACACTTTCGATGCGCAAATCGCTAAAGGAAAATTCTGTTGCGGAGCAACAATCTGGTATTTACAATATGTTAATGAAGAACGAATAGAGAGAAACGGATGTTATTCATGGGATGCATGATGCTAAACCGTCCTCCCAATCCGACTAAGACCGATAGGGCAATAAGGAACCAAAAGTAAACCCAAAGCGAGGAAATGTTAAAGAGCCAATATAAGACAAAGGTGTGTTAACGTTCAAGGAGCCCACAAATTCATGAGGCCGAAGTATCGAGGTAATTTTTGTTCATCAGATAACTTTTAGACACATTTTAAACTTCACTGGAAGACGAATCATCCTATCCTGACTAGCCTGTGTTAGCGATTCGAGCTTGAAGCAAAACAATAAAATGAGGTTATAATTCGTTGTGAGTTTATTGAAGTTAAATTTGTTCTGTAGCAATCAAAAGAATGAAATTGATAAAATTGAACATAAAAAGAACCTGCAGTATTCTGAAATGATTAATGAACAAGTGTAAGGTAATAACGAGAGACTAGGCTAACCTGAAACTGTGTCTTAGATTTCCTGGCTTCAGAAAGATATTGTCTGAGCGCCAGCAACCCAAAGTACGTCGCATCCGTGTACATGAGAAGAGTACTCAGCACTTTAACAGCTGCCATATCTTGACGACGAGAATTGTCTGTGCGGGTACTATGAGTATCCACTGTAGTCACGTCACGGAGACAAGCTTGCACATATGACTAGGATGAATGATAGAAGGCGGGATTCAAAGAAGGCTTAGCTAAGATAGAAACAAGTGCCAGAAGTGGTGATATTTAATGAAATTACTCTCAAAATTGTTCGAAGTGGATAAAATTGCAGGAACAACCACGCTGAAGTCGAGATAATATGGTTATGTGCATGAGCACAGAGCACTTTCCCTTTATTTTTACAATCTGGCGAAGGTAATGATGATAACTCGAGAAGTGAATCCAATGATGCATCGTAATCTCTACATGCTGGAATGTCGACTGGATCCGAAAAAATGTCTTTTGGTGAAGAACCCAGTTAAGGTTCTAGAGAAGTGTATGTGAGTGTAAGCATTCTATGGTATGGGTAAATATAATTGTAATAAATTAGACGATTACATAGCAAATCAGCTCTCAAAAGTATATTCGTAAATAAGGCCAAATTAAGAGAATAAAGTAAAAATGACTCTCAAAGCGAGCCATAATCAATCTTGTGCGAGTAGGTAGTCGGTAGTGATTAAATGTAATCATTTGCAGTGGAAATTGAGAGGACCATTAAGGATCATGCAGCAAGAGGAAGCATGCTACTACGAATTAGCATTCTCATACGAACCTGCATGTACTAAGCTGGAATCCTGTAAGGAGTACAGCTAAAATACAGGCAGGTCGGGAAATGCAATCGAAGCTGAACGATGAAGCATGGTGAGATACAAAAAGGAATTAAATTCATTTGCATAATGAGACTCTGCTGTTATTACATCTCAGGCAGATCAACTAGGCTATCGTCTAGTCGAAGCCATAAAAATGGCATTTGATCGAAAAAAAACAAATAGAGTCTAGAGAAAGTACAGCAAGAACCTTAAAAGTCACCGTTGCCGTCTATACTGACCTGCATCGACTCGAAGGTGACGTTGCCTCTCAATTTTTCAACTTCGTCCATAAGGAGGTAAATTCTAAAAACGCGTTAAATAGGAGAAAATGAAGTATTAACAGCTTTAAGATGAAGTATGGTCATTGGTACCAAGCAATAACATAAATCTAAGCCCCACCTTAGGTTCGATGGACCTTATCATAAAATATTAGGGTCAATACATGATGCGCATTGAGGTTGAGAATACAGGCGAATGAACTTAGTTCCCGCTCCGACAATCTGGCAGTCGCTATCATGAAATTGGACTTGAAACAAGGACGTTTAAGTATTTGAATTAGAGTTTTAGGATCTGGGAGAGCCTTGGTATAAAGGTATATCATTTGACAACCTCCGTTATCTCATGATAAGTCAAAATAATTCAATTTTGCTCTTAAGTATGCTGAGACTACCAGTATATCTTAAATAGGAAGTGCGTTCACCCTATTTCGTTTAAAGTAATGAAGGAATGGTAACCGAATTTCCAAATAATTGAGTATGATTCATGTTTCCGTTTAGTTTCATATAGCCTTGCTTTCCACAAGATATTATCATCAAAGCTGCACTGCAGTTTCGACCTTGCTTAGGCTCTAAAATCTACCTATGCACGAAAAAATGGCAATGCAAACTAGTGCTGTAGTAAATACAAATTAGCTGCATCGACAACCCCACCAAAAAGGTGATATGGCCTGGCCTTCCGTAAAATTCATTTCAGCCTTATGACCCAAGGGTACTCGCAATAGTGTGACGTAGCAGGTAATGTAATGAAAGTGTACGCCGAAGAATCACAACCCAGGTTCGAGTGCTGCAAAGACATAGGCGAAATCGAAACCTCGGTCCAGCCTGGAAGATAATAACTTTTGGAAAGAATAGCTATGATAATTTCAAAGGAAACATGAGGCTTACTTATATAGAGGTTGTTTGACCTGGTTTTCGCAACATGATCATATTGGAACGCACCTAGTCCGGGGTCCATTGTCTGCATGATCATTTCCAAAGTAGAACCATGGACGTGGTACATTCCAAACACCATCTTGGCCTTCATACCTTACTTATATAGTTGAAGAAAAATTCAATTACCATTCCTTCACTACCTCAAACGAAATAAGGTGAGCACAGTTCTTATTACTAAGAACAATAATCGCAAGAATATGGCTTGTATTCATCCTATTTCGTTTAAGGTGATGAAGGACTGGTAATTGATTATACCCACAATGATAGGAGTAGAGCTGACGTTTCCATTGAATTTCACATAGCCATGCTTTCCCGGAATATGCTATCATCCAGCGTGGGCTGCAGTTTCGGCCTCGCATAGGTCTTATCAACACCCCAGGAGGGAGTCGAACCATGACGGTGCAGTGTGTAAGCTCGACATGTTAACCACTAGGCCACATTGCCACGAGTGCCCTTGGGTCATAGAACAGATGTGAATTTCAAGAAAGTCCAGACATTTTCCAATATCATATTCCTTGACTGGATTGTCGATGAAGCAAAGTTTTACTTGCCATGACAATCAACTGCAATACTATTTATCTTCCTAAGTAGGGCTTCGAGACTACAAGTAAATCAATTACGAGAGGTATTCACCCTATTTCCTTTTAATGTGATGAAGATAGTCTCGAAACCCAAATTACGAACGAAATATAAGTAATGCACTCGTGGCAATGTGGTTAACGTGTCGGGCTCACACGCTGCATTGCCATGGTTAGACTCACGCCTGGTGTTGATACGAGGTCGAAACTGTATTACATCCTAAATAAGAACACCTTTTGGGAAAGCAAGGCTGTGAAATTTAATGGAAACGTCAGCCCTACTCATACCATTGTGGAAAAAATCAATTAACAGTCGTTCATCACCCTAAACGAAATAGGTTTAATATAACTCATATATCCGATTTAGTGATAGTCTCGAAAAGCTACTCGCAAGAATGCTACAAAGCTTCGTTTTTTTCCTCCAGCTTTCTAATCCCCTAGAACTGAAGACCAAGGTGAGGAATTGGATTAGTTCACAATCTCTCTTCACCATATTAGGTTGGCTTGGCCTCTTTATTTTAGCAATACCGAATTAAGATGTCATTTTGTTCCAGAGAAATTCTTTCGAATGCAGAAGAGCTGCTGTGGCAAGACTATTTGCAGTCTGAAGAGTGAGAGGTCGCACCAAAAAATCTCTTTTAAGACCACAAAAGACACATTTGGCTAGGCTTGGTCAAAGAAGGAAGCTCCGTTTGGCTATTGTCAGCACGAGATTGATCCCGAACCAAATAATAATGGCAAAGGTATGAAGACCAAGATGGCGTGGCCTTTTGTGTGGTCGCAGACTCTTTTCGTTGTAAAGAAGTTATTCGACCTTGTTTTCGCAATTTGGTCATATTGGCAGGAAGACCTAGAGAAATCTACATTCTCCAGAGTTCATAGTATGCATGATCATTTCCAGTCGGACCGTGAACGTGGTACATTCCCAGACGTTTCGCCGGCATCCCAAATGAAACTAATTCTTTGATCAAATG